CATAAGCTTTCTGGGTGAATACCCACTTCGTCTCATGCGTCTGACGAAGTGGGTATTCACCCACGAAAGCTTATGCTCCAATACATCTGTTAGTCTTAAAGGTGCCACAGGACTCTTTGTTGCTTTTCAAAGGAACATGTCACACGTCCTCAGACACCGGAAAGGATGGGTGGGGGAGTCTGGAAAGCCCCAGATACCTCACATTGTTCCAAGAGGCATGGTACCTGGTTGTGTTGTTGTGATGTACTGCAGAGTGCATTGCTGGCATGGGGGTTCATCTTGGATGAAGAAACCTGGAATTGCACAGTATGGCTGAGGCAAGGAGGATAAGGTCAGCCAAGGTTGCAAGGGCTGGAGAAAGCAAATATTGTATAAGCTCTTGGGCCGGACACTTCCAGTATGGGACACAAATATGCTGTTATAACTGGCCAATCTTCTGCCAAGAAATTTTACCTGAATAGGGGATGAGATAATTTTTCCAGTTCCCCAGCATGAGATCCACAGTGTATCAGCTGATGCTCGTCTGATTGGTGCTGCCCTAGACTGCATGATAAAGCTAAGCTGAGTCATACCACCACTGCACTGAAATGTGCAGGCTTTAACGAGCAGATGCCCAGAATATTTGTTGACCTTAAGACAAGAGAGTTGAAATATTCAGAGCAACTTAGATACACTGGGAAATGCTCCATGGTGGGAGTTAGTATATAATATTGGGGAACATCCACGGATATGTATGATATCAATGGACTTCACAGTTGCACAAGCCATACTAGTAGGGGTATTGCATTGATTGCATTGATCTGGAAGGTTAAGAGGCAGTTGGGAAAGAGAAGAGATGTATATGAAATACAGGCTTAGATGAAGCCTTAGAAAGGATTCTATGGCTTCACGGGGGGGAGTGTTGGGAGCAAAGGCATATGTAGGCCTGACAGAAGCCTGCTGGGGATTTTAAGAGTCTGTGCTTATAACGTTGAACGGCATAAGCATAAGTAGAGCCGTGTATGTGTGAGAAATTGCAGAGCAATCATGTTTGTGAGAACAAGAAAAGATAAAATCACTAAAAAGCTAGAAAAGATTGGTTTGAACTAACACAACACCTGTACCGATGCGGGAGGAGAGCTGACATGGAAATGAGAGACTGATACATATGTATAAGACAAGATAACAAAAAGTTATAAATAATTTGCATAACAAAGGGAGGTGGAAGCTGTATTGCCCGGTGCTGGCGGCGACTGTGATGAGATCGTCCTAATGAGCTTCCTACTTGTAAGTAATTGATCACTACTTGCTGAGTATTTTCCCTTAATAAATATGTGTTAGATCTATCTGTTGAGTAAGTGAACCTCAATGGAACAATCTGTATCGAGTGTACAGATACCTCCTTTCTATTCCCATCAGCATGAGAAGGGCTGTCTTGAGGAGCTGTAACCAGGAAGCACGAGGGCACTGATTCAGGGGCGGAATTTGCCTCTATTCCCACAAGACTACATGGGAATCCTTACACTGGACAGAAAGACAATAGGCAAAGACTGAATTAAACGTGAGGCAAAACCTGAAGGAGATCACCTGCTGACAAAGTTAGAGACAGCGACCGTGTAATATACAGAGATGGTATCTCCTCCAGCACACACCACCTGTGAACTCTATCTCCTCTCAGCAGTTTTACCAAGGAGTAACGCTTTTGCTTTTCTCACCCTCCCCGGAAGAGACCATTCCTTGTGCCATCAACGCTCACAACTCTGTGTAATGCACAAAGCCCTCTATTGCAGAGGGATTTCTATGGCTGTATTTTTCATCAGTTGAGCACAAATGTAGTGAAGGGGTGTAGTCTAGTGGATAGTGCCCCGCCCTGGGATACCTAGCCCTCGCTCTGCCACTGGCTGACTTTGGGCAAGTCACTGTACTGCCCCATGCCTCCGTTTCCCCATCTGTAGAGTGGGGATAATGATACTGATCTCCTTTGTAAAGTGCTGTGAGATCTACCAATGACAAGTGCTGGGTATTCTGAAAAGTACTGTACTGTGAGGTGCAGAAAAGGACTTTTCCCACTCAGGAACAGGTTCAGGCCTATCCCATGCCACCTCATCCAGCCAGCTCAACCTTGGCCAGGAGGGACAAGCTCTACAAATAAGTACTTCTGTTTCTAATCCTGCCCATTTCGGTTCTTGGCCTCTCTGCTAAGACTACCTGAAACGATGCCAGTCGGTAACCTTCACCTTGCACGAGGGCTACCCCCTTCTCCACTAAGAAATGGGCGGATCTCACTCTCAGGGCTGGAATGAATCTCTTGCCAGGATGTCAGGCTCCAAAACAAGAACGGAAGCAGGGCCACTCTGTATCTCCCAGCACGAGGTGGCTCTGCATGGACTCGTTCACTCCAGCTCCCGACCAGTGGATCGCCTCGTCAATGGATTTTGGCATCCCTCGGTGATTTTCCTCCCACCCGCCCTGCTCCACCACTCCTGTTCCCCACACACACACACATGCATGCACATACACGCACGCTCCCCCCAGCTCTCCCCTTCCCCTCTCTGCCTCACCTTTCCATCTCCCCTGCTTCCCAAGCTCCCTGGCCCTCTTACCAGGTCCATCTGGTAGTATTCCCTGATACAGCACCGCCACCGACCGTACAGCCCATTGGCTCCTCACAGCAGCAGCCAGAGGGTGCACAGCAAGAGACTGCAGTGGCTGCCTCAGAAAGCTTTCCCGCCCCTGTCTCCCTACTTGATGCTCAGGCCTAAAAACTTTGTCCTGTGGTCCTCATCCCCAGCCTGAGGTGACAGCTGTGTCCTGACATTACATCGCAGCCTGGTAACACTGCGCCATGACAATGTCGTGTAATGCTACATCATAATAGTGAGCTGTAGGCACGGCAGCATGATCAACTTGTGTGCACTGACCCACAATTATTTCCACCAGACTTTAGTGGTCTTGGCAGCATTAGGGATGGTCCCCCAGCTTTGGAACTTTGTCAAAAATCAGCTCACCAGTTCTCCTTCTGCAAAGGACCACACGGGTTTCCTTACCTCCTCAAATTTGTAAGCTATCATGGCAAAAGCCTTGAAGATGGCATCAGTGGGGCCTGTGATGGTCACAATTCTTTCCGGACAGTTTCCCTCAGAGATGTTGATTCTTGCTCCACTCTAGAAAGAAAAGAAAAACATCTTCTCAGCCCTTTGAAAAGCCCATCAACCTGCACAGTCCCACACTGAACCAGAGCTGGCTACTGACCTAGAGAAACAGGCTAGAGGTTCACCAATGACCTCAGCTCCTGCAATCTGACCAGTGTGTAGGCAGAGCCCTGCACCCATGTGGACTGCTGGTGGCTCCCCTCCAATGTAAAGGTACGCTGGCAGGGGTCAGGTTCATTTAAAAAACAAACAAACCTTTTATACGGATGTGACAACCAATCAGTACACAAAAGCACAAAGTGCTCGGACAATGAACTTGTAAGGCAAATTAATGGTTCAGGTGAATCTCCACTGAAGTTAATGGGAGCTTTCCTGAGTACGGCATGAATAAAATCTGACAAAGGGTCTCTGGCCGTAGCCTACATTTTTATTTTATGCAGTTGCTTAAATTTCTTGAATAACGGGTCAATGGTCTTTAGTACTGAGTATGTAACTAATTGCACGTTTTCTCATAGATAAAATCAAATATCTGCAGAGCTTTAGGCAACTATACACCGAAACTCCCACAAACTGGGCCGGAGGAGCAAGGCCTTTCCATTAGTCTCCATGTCGCTTTCATTAGAAATCATTTCAAATGTCTGGGTAGCTCACCTCCTCACGCATCTTTTTCACGGTCTCTCCTTTCTGAAATAGGATGCAGAAACACAACCATTAGAATATCATCAAGAGCTTCATCCAAACACCCTATCCCGATACTGAAAGTTTCTAATACGTTTTCATAAAATACAAATACATAAAATACAGTTTAGAAAGCTGGGAGAAGAGTCCACCCCCTGCTCCCCCTCCCCAATCCTGCTAGAGCTTTGAAGTGTATTTGTATTCTGAGAATAGCCTATTAACAATTTCCTTTTCATACTCTACAGATTTTATCCCTGCGTGAATTGGAATCGTGTCTGCTCACTTAAGTGACAAAACAGCATTCAGATCATTCTCATAGCGATTCACGGTGAGTTTCTTCCTTTCTAAATGTCCTTCGCCATGGAAGAAGCTCAAAGACATTCATACCCATAAAACAGTTGACTAAACAATCTGAGTGTGATAAGAAAATAATGGAAAAAACAAGGGCCACGTGTGGAGGGACAAGTATCCTCCCTCTTACCAGTCGTTGTAATGACCCCTTCTTCTACTGACCTACCAATCGGTCAAAACACTTCAGCCTTCTCCAGTAACGGTCCTCCACAATGCTGTAGTAACATCACTGCAAGCATTGTTCTTTGGGGGCAGTGCCATAGACTATCATGGCACTTTTCATAAAGGTCCAGTGGGGCAAATGATATTCTATGTTCTTTACTGTAAGTGCCATCCAATTTTGAATTTTAACACATAAGCACCTGTCCATTTTTCAGGAAGGTTGTAATTGTAATTGGAGCAGTTGTGTAAACAGGTCACTTATAACTGAGTACTCTGCTATAGAAGAATTGTAGGAATTTCTTTGTTGTTATGCTAGTTTGCCAAGGTCATGAAACCAATGTATTTACTGACATTTTGCTACTCTTGTGATGAGATTCATCTTTTTCCTTAATGTATCAGTGGGAACAAAATTATCATCATCCCAGAATGAACATATATATTAGTAGCCAGAGTGACACAGCAACAGTGATAGACTAGAAAAATGACAGTATTTTAGATGCATTTTGTAAGGAGAACATTCTTTGATTTCTTCTTCAGTTACATGAATAATCTATCATGCAATCAGAACAATAGATCCACATAACGATAATTTTCAGAGGTGTGTCATGCAATAATTAACAGCTGTAAAAATACAGGTTATAACTACTATACAACTAACATATACAATGATGGAATCTGAAGAAATATTTACCTTCCCAATAATGCTTCCAACTTCCTATAAAAGACCCAAACACAAAGACAGAAATTACAGAATTTAAGAAACGCCAATAAAATCTCATAGGGATATACAGGAGTTGGTGCACTCACTGAATTCAATGAATTATGAACCACACAGAGCAATTTTCAAACAGCCACAAAAAACACGGAGCAGAAAGGGAATCACTTCTTTATTTCAGAGGGGTGCTCACTTGTGTTTCCCAAAGGTACACGGTGCTCTGCCCTGAGGAGGGTATAAATTCTGTTTGCTTTCTGAGGTGCCTCATAGACAGTGTTGGTTCTGAACTATGGCCCCGGTTCAGGAGATCACGTAAGTACATGCTTTCCTGAATGGGGCCTGGATGTCTGCAAAGTGAAGCCCAGTGGCTGCATGATCTCCTGGACAAGCTGGTTGCGAGACAGCCTAGAACAGAGCTATAGCACTCTCATGGCATCATGTGCAAAAAAACAGTATCTATATAATAAAGGGGGTTTTAATTTTTTTTAAGAAAATATGTCTCCTAAACATGGAACTATGACTCTCAGAGCAGAGCAATCAGTTGTGTTTCAGTTCCACGGTACGTGGCCCTCCTCCAGAACATGAGCATGCATGTCTTCGGGCACGCGCAGCCAGTCAAGCAAAACGACAGGCTGTACATTCCCAGGTAGGCCGTATTACACTACATGACTTCACAACGAGTTCAGAAGTGGTTTGTGTTGCGGTTGATTAGCACTGCCATTCCCACAGTGAGCAAGTGAGAGGAATGTCTGTCACTCAGAGCACTACTGACACATTAGGGGGAGGCACACACCTTCCCAAATGCCATCAGCTGGAGTATTGGACTTTCCTCTAGAGCCTCATTTCTCAGCTGGAGGATTGTGACCCCTGGGGGGTTATGAGAGGCCAACGGGGGGGGGAAGGGTTGCGAGGTGTTGAAACTTTTATTACAGTCTAAAGCAAAGGAAATCTCATTCCCCCACTCCCCATAAACTCTTCCATTTCAAGATCAAGTATTCTCTGTCAGCCTCTTGAAACACACCCACAAATCAATGATACAGGGTTATCACTGAAACGTATTTTGCTCTTACTCTTTTCATAAATGGAAGGGGACCACAAACAGCTTTGACTTTAAATACTAAGTCAATGCCAACCTGAGAAGGTGAGAAACACCGCTCTAAAGCTGTGGAATGGTGCTAAATTCATGTGACTTCAATGTATAATAATGCTCCATCAGGTCTCATCCTTCACGAAGCTCTGCAAAGAGCTCCTTGCCTTTAAAAGCGGGAAATGAAGAGGAAGAGTCTTGATATCATCTCCTTGGTACGCAGACTTCTATTGTCTGGTATTTTGGATCAGTTCTCCCAGTATTCCCCAGCAGACCCAGAGTTTTCAAAGGCATGAGGTGGGTAGGCACCAAGGCTGCAGGGCACCAGTCTGACTCACGCTTTTGAAAGCTTGGGATGGGCAGAGCTGTGGCTTTGAAACCACAAGGTGCCATTTGCCTGATCAGGCTGCTTGGGCTGACTCCTGCAGTGAAGGCTCTTGGGGGGAAGCAGTCCCTTGTTCACACGGCACATGAGGGCTGCACCAATACAGCCATGGTCACAGCTGTGGACCGCTGGCACCCGAGGAGTCTGACAGGGCACACAGAGTGGGGGGCCTGGCTGACAGAGACACTGTCTCTCATCTCAGCAGGGCACTGGGTGGCCCCGTCTGTGACTGTAACGCCTTGGCTCACGATGGTGACCAGGAAATGGCAGTGAATGTGGCTCAATGTGGCTGGAGACCCGAGTGCAGCCAGAGAGCTTGCGGGGAGGGAAATTCGGAAAGGAACCTATGGAGTCTAGGAGTCTGTGCAAAGTCTATGCAAATGACCCATGCTCATGGCCCTGCGGGTCTGCACCCATCTGCGTCTCCCTAGCATGTGGAAGCCATTCATTACATTGTGCACTCAGGGAGCAGCTGGAAGAAGTGGAACATGGTCAGAGAGGTGCTTGGTGTCCCAGTGCACCGCCCAGCACGGGCCTGGGAGATGCTGAAAAGAAACCTGAGCATGGGAACGCATCCCCAGGGAGGGCACGGCTGGTCCTGGCGATGGGCCGTGGAGGGATGCACTGTCTGGGAGAGGACAAGCTAAGCTTCTGCCCTCACATAGAAATACTGCGCTCCAGGGTCCCACGCTCACCAGTGCTGAGCTGTCAGGCAGCCCCAGAGCAAGAAGAACAAGCATTCTTTGCAATGCTGGGCTAAAGACAATGGCTAGCCCCAGTCGGAGGGGGTGCTGAAGGGTGGGCTCTGGCCCCAGAGGCTGCTATCCCCAGTGTCCAGAATATCAGACTCCCCATCTCCCCACTCCTGCACTCCCCTGGGCTCGCTGCCCCGTCCCTCACTCCAGTAGCTGCTCAGGGTAGAGATGTGCGCTCCTGTCTGCTCTCTCCCATCGTCTGCCTCTGGCGGATTCACCTGCCTGCACGAAGGGATGCACGTTGCACCAGAGAGCACCCCTAGGCCCTGTTCCTGCTGCGCCCTCACACACAAGGGCACCAGAAAGTGGGCCAGGTGTGTTCCCCCCAGCCCTGCCTGACCATCCTCTGGGGCTGGTGGGCTGGGGCCCGGAACACCCTCAAGCATATTACTGCATACTATGGGTATGGGGGGGGTTACATTAACACAAGCACTGCCCTCTGTCCCCCCAGCCGTCCCATGCCACAGACTAGTGGCTTTCTCCTTGTCTCCCTCTCAGTGTGGCCCATCCCTGGCAGGGGGGCATCTTCCAGGCCCCTCCATGCTGCCTTGTGCCTTTGCCTCAAGGCGCCTCCCGCGCTTTTTCCAGCAGAGCCCTGAATTGGTGGAAGACTGGTGGCTTGTGGTGGAAAATGGGGAGAGGGACAGTGCCTTGACTCTGGTCTGTGTTCGCTATCTCAGCCCTTGGGATGGCTGGAGAGGGCCCTCCAGCTGGTGTCAGTTCCTGTGATAACATGGGGCCAGTGTGGGGGGAGGGCTCTGTGTGCGTGTGAGCGCGTGTGTGAGGGTGTGGCAGGGAGTCCCCCTCACTCTGTGTCTGTCTAATGGATTGTTCCCACGGCTCTGCCTGGGGAGCCGCGGCAGGGCTGAGCTAAAGCCATGCATGTCCTGCCTCCTGGGCCCTTAGCCCAGCCCTGCCCAGAAGATGGCAAGCAGAGGGGGAGTCTATCTGCTCCTGCTGAGTTTGTCATGCGAAAGCAGGTGGAGCCGTGACATCGCTCAACCTGTGCAATGGGGGAAGTCAGCGCACTCCTGTCAGGGCTGGCCCAAGCAGGGAGCAGGAATTGCACCCCTCGGAGTCACAGTTCCCTCCCAGGCTTCTCCTGGAGCAGTGCAGTGACACGGCACCCCTTGCTCGGGGGCCGAACGGCTCGATCTCGCATTTCACCTTCCTCCATTTGGTAAACACTGATTACTTCATTGTTCCGGGCAATGGAGCTGAAATGAAGACAACAAAATGTGCATCCACTTCTTACCTTTCCATGCATGAGCAGCCGGATGGTGAGAGTAACATTCAGGCCACCTTCCGAGACTTTTGATTCCATTTCCTACCGAGTGCGGGAGATGTGTGGTAAGGAACAGGGAGGTCCCAAGGAAGGACAAGACAGCCCTAAAACAATCACCTGCAAGGAGACAGAGGAAAAGCTGCTTAGTGCTCCCTGCTTTATGAATCAGTGGAGTCTACCAGCTGAGTTCACTCTTTTCACAACACCTGCTGCCAATGGCCGGGGACTTGGACAGGGCCTTCCGTGGAACACGAGCCACCTTGGAGACAAGGGACATTTGGAAGGTTCTGTTCACTGACCGATGGGGAGATGCTTTGCTCTGCCCTTGCCCTGCTCAGCTAGGCATGCAGCTCCCATGGTCAGGGCTCCTGAATACTCATGGGTTTGCTTCTTTGTTTTTGTTACCGTAAAAGGATGTGACACGCAGTACACTGCTTGTGCGACGTGGCAAGAGCTCGCTGCATGGGGCACATCAAAAACAGGAGAGTGAGGTAGGGCTCGCCCCCGGCTGGGACAGACAAAGGGTATGTCTACACTGCGGCTGGCCCGTGCAGGGTCCTAGATCCCAGGCTCCAGCCCAAACCTGAACGTCCACACTGCAATTAGACAACCCTGGAACCCAAGCCCGAGTCAGCTGGCACAGGCCAGCGGTGGGGTTTAATCACAGTGTAAACACACCCAATGAGTGCAGCCAGTCTTTGTAATACAGATTTTTCATCTTGCTTATAACCAAGAGTAGAACCTACCCAGCCAGCTTTTCTTCCCAGAGCGAGGTGCGAGCTCTGCTCATGTGCTGCTGAACTTTTATTTGTGGTTTTCTCTTTGGGTCAGCTCCTCGGCTTGCAGATCTCCAGCTTTACCAGCTGCATAGGAATTCTGCAAGGGGAATCCCTGCTTGTCGAGAGCCGGCTCAGTGCCACCCCCACCTCAGGCAAAGTGGCGGGAATGGGGAAGAGGGAAGTGTGCCTTGGGGCATAGGGAGCCTGACATGCACCAGGGGCCAAAGCATTCCCTGGATGGCCCAAGGATCAGAGAAACACAAAGGTGGCGTGTGCTAATTCCCTCTGGTCCTGTGCCAAGCACACCTGGGTGTGCCAGAGAACCTGGGCCAGATGTTTATTGTCTACAACTGCAGCTGAAACCAAACGCATCCAGTGGGCTGTTATACTCACTAGCAGCCACAAGCAATGACGCTTCTTCCGATTGGTTACATGTGAGCTATAGACATTCATGGATACATGGCCAGAAGGGACCATCAGATCAACTAGTCTGACCACCTGTGTAGCACGGCCCATTACAATTCACCCAGTTACCCTGTCCTCAGCCCAGGCATTTGTGTTTGTATAGGCATATCTTCCAGAAAGGCATCCAGTCTGCAGACATCACGAGATGGAGAATGCACCACTCCCAGGGAGGTTGGCTCCAATGGATAATTCCCCATCACTGTTAACATCCACACCTGACTTCTAATTTGAATTTGTCTGGCTTCAGCTTCCAGCCACTGGTGCTTGTTACATTTTTCTCCACTAGATTAAAGAGCCCTGTAGCATCTGGTATTTTTCTTCTTGTGAAGGTCCTTACACATCTCAGTTCCTTCCATTTGACTTAACGGACCAATCATTTCATCCATCTAACCCGCCAAAACAAATGCCCTTAAGGCAATGGAAAACCTTCCCTCTCTCCACTGGACCAGTGAGTTGCCCTGTGGGACCATGACAGCCAGCAGAAGACCGCTGTACTACATTCATTACAGCCATCTGCAATTGCTCTTGGTTTCCACATGGCAATGTTATGTGGTGGAAGAAACAGGGCCGGCCCACAACATTTTGGCACCTGAGGCCGGGAGCTCAAATCTGAATGGAAAGGTCTCAATTCTGCCCTCTTCCTGTTCTACTCCTCTCACGGTACTGCTCAGCTGCCTACCCCAATAAAGAACTAACAACTTAATATGCCTTGTTCAAAAATTTTAAGTAACACTTAACTTTCAAACGCCTGAACAGCAAACGTAACTTTTTCTTGTCTGCATAGTAAACACTGGCATTTTTATCTGTTTGAATAATCAAAGTGGTGCTTTCCGTGCTGCCTTGGTTGCAAAGATTTGAACTGCTTCCTGCTGAAGGTCCACAGTCTGGGCCAGCTCATGCTCTATTGAGATGGTTGCAAGGCCGACCGGCCTCTCCTGTGTCATTGTGGAGCGGAGATGTGTTTTTATTAACTTCAGCTTGGAGAAGCTGCGTTCTCCACTGGCAACTGTTACAGCAAGTGTTAGAAGTATGCGCAGAGCAACAAAAGCATTTGGAAAGAGGGTGGTCATCTTATTTGTGCACATATATTCCAGAACAGCCTTTGGAGTTGATCCTGCTGAAATTTATCTTGAAAGGGCTCTCAATTCATCACCTAAATCACTCACATCAATATCTGTGCATCTAGAGCAGAGAGAATACAGATGCACCAGCAGCAGACACAATTTTCTACACCCTGGGTCCTAGTGGTGCCCCCAGAGTCTGGCACCTGAGGCGGCTGCCTCAGTTCGCCTCATGGTAAAGCCAGCCCTGGGAAAAATGTCCCTGGCACATAGTCCTATGGTAGAAGGAGCTTCCCTTGGGGAGAGAGGAGATGGGAGAAAGCCGCACATCATTAGGGTGCATGGCTGATTAAGCTAGGGTTGGGAGAGACTGGAATGACCAAACTCCATCAGTAACATTTCACATTCAGGAGGTCACCATTCAACGATTATTTGTATTGTAGCAGCCCTGGCAGCACCATGCCTCATGGATCATGGCCCTTCTGTGTGTCCCCCTCTTTCCTTCTCCTTCCCCATCACTTTCTTCTCCTCCATTCTTGTCACTGATGGAGCTGTCTCCCCACTCTCTTCCTGTAACCTCTCCATTCACCCCAGCAACCCCATCCCATATTGTTTCATGACCTCCCTTATACCCACTCTCTTCCTGTTTTCACTTCTCTCTTACACTTTTCACTGCCTATCACTCTCATCTACTTTCTTCCCCTCACAATATAAGCATTGTCTCCCAACCATAAAACCCCACAGAATCATAGAAATGTAGGACTGGAAGAGACCTCGAGAGGTCATCTAGTCCAGTTCCCTGAGCTAAGGCAGGACCATGTATTATCTAGACCAGGGGTCAGCAACCTTTCAGAAGTGGTGTGCCGAGTCTTCATTTATTCACTCTGATTTAAGGTTTCGCATGCCAGTCATACATTTTAATGTTTTTAGAAGGTCTCTTTCTATAAGTCTATAATATATAACTAAACTATTGTTGTATGTAAAGTAAATAAGGTTTTTAAAATGTTTAAGAAGCTTCATTTAAAATTAAATTAAAATGCAGAGCCCCCGGACCGGTGGCCAGGACCCAGGCAGTGTGAGTGCCGCTGAAAATCAACTCGCATGCCGCCTTTGGCACACATGCCATAGGTTGCCTACCCCTGATCTAGACCATCCTTGACAGCTGTTTGTCCAACCTGCTCCTAAATACTCCAGTGATGGATATTCCACAACTTCTTAAGGGAATTTGTTCCAGTGCTTAATCACCCTGACCATTAGGAAGTTTTCCTAATAGCCAACCTAAATCTCTGTTGCTGCAGTTTAAGCCCATTGCTTCTTGTCCTATCCTCAGAGGTTAAGGAGAACAATGTATACTTCTCCTATTTATGTACCTTTTATGTACTTGAAGATTGTTATCATGTCCCCCCTCAGTCTTCTCTCCAGACTAAGCAAACCCAATTTTTTCAAATCTTTCCTCACAAGTCATGTTTTCTAGACCTTTAATCATTTTGTTGCTCTCTTCTGGACTTTCGACTTTCTCTAATTAGTCCACGTCTTTCCCTAAGTGTGGTGCCCAGAACTGAATACATTATTCCAGGTGAGGCCTTATCAGCACTGAAACATTATTTCTCATGTCTTGCTTACAACACTCCTGCTAATACATCCCAGAATGATGTTTGATTGTTTTGTGACAGTGTTACACTGTTGACCCATATTTAGCTTGTGATCCACTAAAACTCCCAGATCCCTTTCCGCAGTACTCCTTCCTAGTCAGTCATTTCCATTTTGCATTTGTGCAATTGATTGTTCCTTCCTAAGTGGAGTACTTTGCATTTGTCCTTATTGAATTTCACCCTATTTACTTCAGACCATTTCTCCAGTTTGTCCAGATCACTTTGAATTTTAATTCTGTCCTCCAAAGCACTTGCAGCGCCTCCCAGCTTGGTATCATCTGCAAACTTTATCAGTGTACTCTCTATGCCATTATCTAAATCATTGATGAAGATATTGAATAGAACCAGACCCAGGACAGATCTTTCCAGTTTGACTGTGAGCCATTGATAACTAATCTCTGAGTGTGGTTAGAACCATAGAATACCAGGGTTGGAAGGGACCTCAGGAGGTCATCTAGTCCAACCCCCTGCTCAAAGGGGGACTAATCCCAAGACAGATTTTTGCTCCAGATCCCTAAATGGCTCCCTCAAGGATTGAACTCACAACCTTGGGTTTAGCAGGCCAATACTTAAACATCTAAGCTATCCCTCCCCCCCGAAAACTGGTTCTCCAACCAGTTCCAACCATCCTTGACCCTTGATCCTGCCTTACTCTCCTATTACCTCCCTGTGACCCATGACCCTCCCTCACTCTCCTACCACCTCCCCATCTCCTTTTATCTCTAAACACATCGACTGTACTATCTACTAGAGTCACCTTCCCCATAGCCCTTCCGCTCTGGTTGCTGTCCTCTCCAGCCCACTGTACCCATCAGGGTGTCTAATGCTCTAAGCCATCTTTGCACCTCCCCTATTCTTAGGGTTGCTGAGAGGCAGAAACAATTGCCACCACACACACACACACACCCACTAGCCTGACTCTCCTCTTCCCCTCCCAGGAGTCCCCCTCACTGGCCTGACCTCCTGCCCCCTCCCTGGACCCTTCCTGGGGTAACCCTGGGGCAATTTCTACCTCTTTATGTTACCAGAGAGGAATGGAAAATGAATCCCATTGTTCTAACCCCTCCCCAGGTTCTCCTTCACCACTGGCAAAGTGTTTCAATCACGTTGTCTAGTCTAGGTGTGTTCTGTTGAACAACATACTCTGTTTCAGACCGTGC